TAAACTTCAGAGATATAAGGAAATAGATAAAAATATGGACTTAAAGCAAAAAAAAAGAAACATGGAATAAGAGACTACTATAAGATATTATAAAATAAGATTCACTTTACATATTTTGGTGAATTCGTTCCACTTTGTGCGTGGTCTCGCGATTGCACGTTTCTGTAGGTTTCTACCTGTGATTTTCAACACAAGCAGTGTATGGTTTGTACAAAACGCAATAATACACTTAGAAATAAGACCAAATGGTGTAAGAGAGGGAAATTTGTGCCCAGTTGAAACGGGATTCAAGCACAGAGAGAAGACATGTGTAACTAAAATTACATACCAGGCAAGTGAAGGAGACAAACAAAACTTAACATCCAGACATTTTATCAAACTTATTTTAAAATGCAGCGTTTATAGATTGAAATATTGCATTTTTTTATACGATAAACAATTGTTCAATAGACTGGTTCGTTGCTGAGTGTTGCTATTATATMTTTTAAGGACGTATAAACGTTTCAAAAACTAATCAGAAATGAAAGAAAAAAGTTCAAATAAGTTGAAAAAGTAGTGTTTTCTTAACTTATTAAAACTAAAGGTAACTACTGCTTGTAAACCATTCCTATGCGAAGCAATTCCACARACTGAACAAGAGCTTGAGTGATGTATATAAAAGTGGTTAAAAAAATTACTAAAAAGCACTATTCTTTTCAAAACTGGGCGGCATCAAGTCAAAAGCGCGTTCAAGCACCGTGSGTAAAACCCTAACCCCGTATATCCAAAGCGATACTCAAWTCTATGACCCTTGCAGAACATGATGTAATCATCTAAAAGGAAGATCCAAAGATTAGGCGAAATCAGGGGGCATTCAAGCCACTGCATCTAAGTCGACCGAGAAGTTCCGACTGAATCGCTTTCACGGTTTTGTCCAAAAGCATCCAGAGTTCTGAACGGTAAAAAGAACTCGATTCAACTGCAAGAGAAAAGCCTGGATCTTCTAAGTAACTCAGGTTAGATGTTTCGGAATTGTATGCAGATATCTAGGTATATCGGTGGAGATGTTGTATCTTGAAGGTTGTAGATTAGTAGATCTGTCATTGATACTGCGTTAGTAGATAGGCGCTGTGAGACTAGGGTTTTAATTTACCAGCTCAATGCCATCTAAAAACCTTTGTCTTAATGCAGATATAATATATTTTGAAAGTTTTTTTTTAAAAAAAAGTTTAAATAATCTTAACTGAAGACAACTATGTACTGACCACCCACTAAGTTTAGCCCGTGATGGTACTTAATGTTGTCAGTTTCTCAAAAAAAAAATCTAATCTAGTACCATTTTTTCTTCCAATACAAGATTTATACGTGTTGCCTTTAAGGCATAAGTTTATATTAACTAGTTTGTTATCTAATAGTTATAGTTTATAGCAAGATCTAATCTTTTTTGTGATTTGAATGCTGGCCGAACAGTACATGACTTAGCAAGGTATCTGCCAAATGATTTTGTTTCTGTATTCGACATTTGCTTTGATAAATACCACAAAGCAAAAATGAACAATGTTGTTATTTCATCTCTTGTTAGTTTTCCAATTATATTTAATTATTTGTTTAATTTTTTTATTTTTTTTAGCGTACTCTTAATTTTCATGATCTACAATTTTTTACAACGATGACCCGGTCATAAAAAATCAATTCACGGAATGAACTGAAACGTGATTTGTAGAAAAGATAAGGTCAACTTTTTATGTTCAACGTTTTTTAATTTTTAAGTCAATTTTTTTTAAAGTCAAAAAAACTAATGCTTTATACTTTCAATTATAATACAACCGGAATGAAGACATTTAAAATTGCTTTTTATTAGCAAAGATAAAACCATGATCGCTGGCCAGGCTATTGGCAGATATAATCATAACTAAATGATAATTCATCATTTTAGCACAAATTTATTTATAAATAAGGTCAATTTCCAATAAAACGGTTTTCATAAGATAGTTTTTTCAATTAAGATGGATTTGTTTGTCTCTACAATGATGTCACCGTGACCTGGGGTGTCGACGGCCGCGGGTAGGGGCACAACAGGGCATAAGCTTCAAGTAGCTATGTAGTGTTTGTCAATACTTTACATAAGACATTCTAATTCAAGCGAGGAATGTTTGATCAGATCTTCGAGAATTTTTTTTTAACTACTTGATACTTGTTGTAATTTAAAGATGTCAAGAAAAGTAGTAATACACTTAGAGCTATCAATCACAGCAAACCTCGAAATATAATTATARTTAAGTGTTTGGCTAAAATGATATTTACTATTTTGATAACAATAGACAAGCGGTTCTAATCAAGATAAGCATTTAAGTGATGTAAAAGAGCACTCCGGTCTTTTATAAACATCTATTAAATCAAAGTTATACTTTATATAATTTTGAATTGATTATGGGGGACGAGTCTCTTTGAAATGTTAAAGCATTCGTTATGTTTTCCGACAGAAGAATGTTTAATACAATCTGTTTCAATATATACCGCAAAATTGGGGAAACAAAATAAAACAAAACTCTCCCTAAAATTGAGATTGAGATCTCTATAAAAAGCTAAAATTCCGACAATATTATTATTTTTTTCTTGAAGAAAATCATAGCCTCTCACAGAATTGCATATTTTTTTATGTATAGATTGAACTTTATCAATTAAGTTAATAGTCATATACAGAGAAGCTCCCGCGAAGTCTTAATTACGCCAAAATGGAGACATCWTYTTYCTGTAGAATTTGACTTTTACTTAGGAAACGCGTCCATGTTTCCACATTTACACAGAAAACTTTGGTCAATCGAATAATGTATATATATAATCAGTACTTGGTAAAGATTAGCGAAATGTTCCAATCGTTTGGAGAATTCGTCAGTTACTGACAGATCAATGAAGATGATGTTCTTCAAGCATCTTGAGACTGACAACACATGTGTATAACTGACTACAAAAACAACGTTACAATTCCGTAAGCAAAATAATCCTTCTTAGCTCTTTTTTGCTGAAAAAAATCCTATGAAATCCCCATTTACTTCGAAGTGACTTTCAGTACTATGAAAATGGGGGCAAAACCTTCTAAATAAATTATATTATATTATTATCACACAAAAGTTTCAGTGATTTTCGTTSAAGGCTCATTTAAATACATTTTTCCGGGATCAATTTCTTATATTTTGACTAAAAAAATGATCAGATCAAATCCCACAAATCAGATTGTCAATTACTTTGATACGATACTTCACAAACACAACAAAACACGCGATACAACTTTATCCAACTATCTTGAACTGTAATTATGGGTCACAACGAAAGTTCCTCCAAAGTAACGAGCAATTAACCATAAATCCTATAAAATGAAATTTTATTTTTAGTTAAAACAAGTGTTGAATAACTCAAGTAGCTTTCAAAAATTATATTCATAGCACCAGTAAAATATTACAATCATTTAGCTAGTGGGTCTATTGATGCACGGTTTGCTAAACATAGCGGCCACCGACAATATTAGTACTATGCAGGTATGTTATAGCGGGGGCACAGTTCTCTAAAACCACTATCAAGTAACGATATTTAAGAGGTAATTATGGAAACGCAGGCTATCACGTGACAATAGGACTTTTTCAAGACAGTATCAATACTACAATGAAAGCAATATACTTATTATTTCCCAAAAACAATACAATGTGATCCAACGATTTGTGTTGATTAATAACGTTTGATGCCTGAAACTTTGAATAGTTTAAGTTCGAGTAAAACGCCGGCTATCACGTGACAATAGGACTTTTTCAAGACAATGTAATTGCTACAATGAAGACAATATACGAATAATCTTCCAAAAAAAAATATAATGTGATCCAAAGATTTTTGTTCATTAGCGTTTTATGCCAGAAACTTTTAATCGTTTAAGTTCGAGTAAAAGAATGTAAAGCTGGAATTAAGTCAATGAAAAATCTTCGCAATAATCGTTATAACTTTTCGCTTAATTTTTCAACACTTTGACCAAATTTGGCGACTAAAAAACGTGACTTTAAAACAAATCAACGAAAGAGGATGATCGGTGAATTTACTGAATGAGGCTGAGGTTGAAAACATYACATGATTGCCGCCATTTTTTGGAGAAAAAAAAACACGTAGAAAATACTATTTTTATACGATTTTAAAGAAAGAGTACTTTCCAATCGGAATAATTACCGAAAAAAAAAATATTTTCTGTCAAAAGTATTGAATAACTGTACTGGATGACAGATAGATACTATCATACCAAAGCGTTCCATATTCAGATTGAATCACCCACAATGCACCTGTGTGTATATGTTTTGAATTGAAATCAGCCATCCGCCATGTTAAATGACAGTCCACCACCAATGAACACTTGAACAGTTAGAAAACAATAATAATAACTTTATAAAAACTCTATTATAATGTACATGTATGTTTTTTTTTTTAATTACAGCGAAACTTCAGGCATAATTGTGGTCAAWTTAACGAAATATTTACTGGAATTCMATAAATTAAATGACTTTTTTCAAGTTTTGAAATCTCACGATAACAATGTCCAACCAGCAAAACCTTATTTCTCAGTTGAAAAGTCACAWAATATTTTGCCAAATCGACGTGTGGTTGTTCCTGGTGCTCGTTCTTATGTCGTGTCTCAACCTGTTAGATATATTGTGCCTCTATTGTTCTCTCTTCCTTATAAGGAAACTGATAAACAACTGGGTTCAAGGAGTTCTCGACATAAAACCGGTCTATGTTRTATGTCGTAAATAACAGCTTATCAAATTATTGTCCAAGGATAAATATATGAATTCAGAATTGAATATCACCTAAATTTGACTTAACGAAGACAGGGAAAAATCAAACAAGGATATTGGACTTAGAGGATGGCGCGGAGGATTTGGGGGTGAATAGATATCAGTATTTTTGATCGTCTTGCAGTAACAATAGGTGGCGKWTGGACAGTAGGTTTTTGGTATGTTCTGATTTTTTGTATTGTCTTTCAGATTAGTATTCGCGGGAAGTTAGGGAGAAATCATTGAGCGACCAATCACCCAGTGGAGTATGCCTCATAGAGGTAAAAAACTAAATAAAATTGACTTTATATTTATATTGAGCGCGGCTATATCCTTTATAAACACATACACGCTCTTTTCCACTCCTATGACACACATTATTGCTCTAGCACATAATAATTGTATCCATTTTATATAAATGTAAAAATTGTTAGCTTAAAAGAATTTTATGAAGTTTTTTTATGAGGGTTTTTTCAGGATTTTAAGTTATTAGTTTGAAACAATAGAATTTTTAATGAGCTCTGTAGCAAGTTGCTTGTAATCGACCCTTTTAAATCAATGCCAAAACATCTTTTGATGATCAAATTAGTAGACAGGCCCAAACTGTAAACAAAACATCAATAGTGTTTTTACCTTTTCTTTTATGATTTCCTTAAAAGTAACTCCTCTTAGCTGTGCTTCAATTTTTATCGACCTCATTCTAAAGRTAGCCAAGTAAAAATAATTAAAGAATCAACATTTTAGACATATATCGGCTACTGCTTCTTTGAAACGTTAAATTGTTTGAGTTAGGAGTTGTATTACCGGAAAAATTATCTAAAAGTACTGAAAATATATTCGTTTATTAATGGCTTCAATAGTGAAAGGAAATTATTCTATTGTTTTCTATGCCAGGAACGGGGCTATTCCAGCCAGTAATGAAATTTTAAGAATAGACAATTGTAGCTTCAATTTAAACACCAAGAACGTTGATTATAGATGCCTTTAAATGAATATATATATTATTTTGACTGTGTCATTTTCAATTGTTTAGGAAAGGAYATAACTTAGAAGTAGACCAAATACTTCGGGTTAACATAATAACATTGAGTTAGATTTTCTATTGAACTATTTTGACACGTGCATGTTAAAAATAAATACATGTGGGATTATATGCTTCACAGTCTTTAGAAAGAGTAGGAACTATTGAAAATATGATAAACGATCATTTTGCACATAGATTCAAGACTATTYCCGCTTGWACTGGAATTTYAAGAATAGTCATTAKYGACCATGKAAATCTTAACATTTTCCAACAATTCGAGAGAAAAATTAASGGTTATCATGTAAAATACATTGCAACAATTATAGTTCAGTAAATTTAACTTTTGAGCGCGTGAGGTWCAGTGTGATAAAGAATTATTGATRAAAGTTCCGTAGACTGTTCAATTTTAATTCAAGTCAGATCTTTTTCCTTTCCCTTGAAGAGTCTCAAGAGAGTCGATTTGTCGTATAATTCAGTCGCTTTGCTTATGAGGAAAAAATGGTTAAAAATTGACAGTATGTTAATTTGAAGACAGGCAAATCCTATTCACGACTCATAATGGCTGACACTAATTAGCATATTATCGCTCTATTAATAATGTTGACAAATGAAAACACTCAAATGATAGGTATCAAAGCTAAAGATAAGCTATGAAAGTTTCACAGAATAATATTAAATCCTCTTGAAGTTATAAGGGTTAGAAGAGGTACAAAAACACCAAAACGAGGCTACGCAGTCACTAGCAAAGAATTCCATAAAAATCTCTGTATTTTCATTCCTCGATAACTTTGTTAGTATTTAATCCATGGCTTTAAAACTTTCCATGATTACCTATTTCTAATAGGTCTTCCATATGACAGTGTTGAATGTTTACATAATATTATAAATTGTATAAAATCGATGGTAGGCACTTATGGAAGTGGTCTATGCCATTCAAGAATTTAGCAAACTAACAAGTTTTAACTCTAACACAATATATTTATTTTTCAAGGTCCAGGTGGGGTCAACCAGCTGGGAGGTGTGTTCGTCAATGGCCGACCACTTCCCGACTACATGCGACATCGCATCGTAGAGCTGGCTCACTGCGGAGTCCGGCCTTCGGAGATCTCTCGGCAATTACTCGTATCCCACGGCTGTGTCAGTAAGATCCTTGGACGTTACTATGAGACAGGCTCCGTTAGACCTGGTGCCATTGGYGGAAGTAAACCAAAAGTGGCTACTCCTAAAGTGGTGAAGAAGATCCTGGAATACAAGGACAAGAACCCTTGTATCTTCGCATGGGAGATACGGAATAACCTCTTGTCTGATGGGGTATGTGATAAGACCAACGTGCCGAGTGTAAGCTCTATCAACAGGATTCTTAGGAATTCTGCCGCAGAGAAAGAAGCCCGGGCGGTTCAAGAACAGGTTAAACATGCTCAACAGGTAACGACAATAGAAATAACACTGTAAAAAAATCGCGCACTTTAAAGGTTTTAAATTTGATGCAAATATGATGTAAGTGTCCAAAATTCTGTAAATTTGATGTAAATGATTTCCATTAAATTTACAGAATTTTGGACACTTACATCATATTTACATCAAATTTACAACCATTAAAGCACGCGATTTTTTCCAGTGTATTGTAGACATTTGCACCGATGATGGATGATGGCGATGATAAGAGTGATAACAATCACGACGATTTTAATTATAATTAATAATAATGATAATGATAATAATAATAATGATAATGATAATGATGATCAATCTTTTTTATCATCAGGTTCAACATCTTCAGCAACAGGTCACCCTTCAGCCCCAAATGAATGGATTTCCATCACAGATCAACTTTGCCCTACCCCACACCACTGCCGTCAATTTCTCACCAAACATTCAACAACCACAGATAACACAGCCCCATCAATCTACTGTCCCTACTGCCCCTCAAGTACAACACCAACCACAGCACCCCTCCCCAGTGAAAACCCCACAGGACCTAATCGTGCAAAATGTCGAGAAACCKTCACCGGAAAATGGACACAACATTTCACAAAACGGTTCGTTTACATGTTTGTTTCTATCAATACATGAGGCTCCATCGGCGTTATTAAAATCTCAAAAAATTATTATATTTACATGGTACTTTTCCAACAAATTCCAGGAAGCATACAGGATCTTCACGTCAAAACGGACCAGGAACTACAGAAAGACGAATCGGACAAAGAACAAATGAACGAGGAAAGAAAACGAAAGTCAGACAGTGTAATGAGCGAGACTAGTGACACTATTAAACAACTCCCAGAGAAGATCAATGGAGAGAATACTGATGTTAATGGTAATGAAGGCCCTGAAGCCAAGAAGAGAAAGATTGTTTACTTGGACAATGGAAATACAAATGGAAGCAAACAGGACACATTGAGCGTAAGTTGGTTTATCACATCAAGGTTATCGTAGAATAACTTACATGTTCATTATAAATCCTCGGTTTGTCACGATATGATGAAGAAGGTTATAATATTTCATAATGAAACATGGTGATGATTTTGCCTAACCTCCATTAAAAAGATCACAGGCCTTATGAATTGATAAATTATACGCCGCAAAATAGTTGAGTTTCGCGATCTCCTTTATTCTGTGTTAGCCTCAATTGTGTGCAAAATATTCAGAAATTTAAATAAAACTCGTGAAATTTCAAACTATTTCCATTGTCTTCTATACTTACGGATCTCTTGCATTTGCACGGACTGTTAGTGAATAAAAGAATTTATTACATCGTTTTGAGGCTAACACAGCGTAAAAAAGATCGCTAAAAGGGTTTATTGCAGAAGAGTCGACTT